CCACCTTGGCCCACCTCCAAGAAGCCAAGAGAGAGAAAGTGTGGGTATATTTGCAGCGGGGGTGAAGCGGGGAGGTTTATATCTATAAGGGATAGGAACAACCATGGGGACCACTGAGGGATCCTTACTGGCAGTGCACACCCTGACCCTGGCATCTCAGGGTGGCTGTTTCCAGCCACAACTACCCTACATTTCTTCAGAGCTCATTATAAGGTGACCAACTAAGTCCAGTTTTCCAGGGACTATCTTGGTTTTAAAACCAGAAGTTCAGACATTTATACTCTACTATGAATATCTGACATGTACCCTTGCAATATGCACTGTGGGTGAGGGCCCAACGATTACCCTCCCTCCACTAAATATCTAAACACAACAATTAAATAGGTGAGGTGAATGCTATGTTAAGCAGTTTGATATAAACATTCCAAACTGTATATAAAATCAGTACATTATACCCCATAAATGCAGTAAATGTACACAGTTATGATCTAATTTAAAAAAAAAAAGAATGAGAAAAATCTAGCATAATAAAAACCCAACTTCTAATGCCTCCAACAACATAAATAAATAAATAAATAAATAAACAAACAAATAAAACCAGAAGTTCCTCATACTGGAAAATCCCTCAGTCCTGGGCAAACCAGGAGTGGGATTAGTGGGGAGGCTGGTCACCCCAGCTCACTGGTATCTGATCCCAAGAAGTCCCTAATGAACATCCAGCAAAGATGAGGGGCGAGAAATAAATTCCTAGGTTTAACTGTAGCCCAGACACCAAGTGGAAGGAACCAAGCCCTTTACATAGCAATGGCCACCCCCCTCCCCAGCTACACTGGCCCTGAGGGACATGGTGCTATAGGTGATCACCTTTCCTGCGGACGATGAACTCAAACTTGGCAGGCACCAGGGTGTCCAGGCTGATGTTGATGGCACTGAGACCAGCCTTCTGAAGCTGGGGCAGCAGCCGGGCTAGGTTGATGCCATTGGTGGTGACGCCAATGGTCCTCAGCCCTTCCAGCCGCCGGAGCCGGGCTATGGAGACAATGAGAGGGGGAGTCAGAATGCTTGTTCTTGGTGAGGCTGGGAGTGGCCTGGAAGGCAGAATTCTGTCTGGACAAGAAGGATGGAAAAGTAGCTTTGTCTGGACCTCTATTAACCAAGCTTAGCTTAATGATAAACTCAAAAATAAAAACAATGACCAAAACAACGAAAGACTAAGAACTGAGTGCTCATCCTGGGCTGGTGCTCTGCTGGGGCTCTGTTGGGCATTTTGCCTACACAACAACCACCATCCCCATTTCAGGGAGGTTAGGAAAGCTGCTGAAAGTCACACAGCAAGTAAGAACAGCTGGGATTCGATTCCATGTGTACTTGACTCAGGACTGTGCTTAACAGCCAATTACACAGGTCCTGATACGCTGTAAAACAGAAACAAGAGCTCCATCAAAATTCTCTAGAAATCACAGAAGAATTTCTTTAAAATCAGTAACAGCTTTGGAAGGTAATAAAGAACACTATCGATCGCCTGGAAGGGCACAGAAGTACTGAAAGAGAGAAAGCAGATGGGGTCAGATGGATAGAGACCACTACCCAAAGTGTACCTAGAAGAAAGTCCTGTAAAAACAGGGCAGGGGACGAGTGTGCACCAAGCTTAGCAGTCAGGCGTACAGGAGGCAGAGGGGTCCCAAGGCATGTCAAGGACATCTATGGCAGGGAAATCACATTTGGAGGGGCTGGCGAAGTTGGCCTGTTGTCCTGTGCAGCAGAAGGCAGGCAACAGAAACATTTGCCTCAAGGCTGGAGCACCGGTGTAGACACTAAAGCCAGCCGCGGGGCAAACCCTGAGTATACTACTGACACTCAGGAGTCACGAAACCCAGTGGTACCCCACACCCATTTTCTCCACAACCTCAGGGCAACCAGCAGAAACAGAACCAGCATTGCCAGGCAGGCCAAAGAGACCTCAGGCACTAAGATGGATACACAGCCAAGAATTGCCAGACATTTAAGGAGGATGCTGTGAAAGAAAGATAAACAATTCCCCAAACAGAAAAATGAAAGAAGAAAAAGAAGCAACAGCGATAACAGAAGACAAGTCTCTTAAAAAACAGAGTAAAGATGATAAACATTGCATCCCTGAAAACAAGGAAAGGACTCTTGAAAAGTAAAAAAAATATATATATATATATATAGTTATAGAAAGAAAAAAATATATATATATAGTTATAGAAAGAAAAACCTCAATGGAAAGGCAGAATGACACATTCTAAAAAAAAATGTGAAGCCAGAAAAGTGGCCTACGAGATGGAGTCTGAGACACTAAACTGAAGCCCTCCAGCAAACTGAGTCTGCTGAATTCACTTTCCTTCCCACCCACCCTTCCCCTGTGATAATCTAGTTAAGTTTCACAATTGGGAGGATGTGTATCTCAGGAGACTAGAGGAAGTAGTCACACACAGATGATAGGGGTTGTGATATCGATAGAGTAAAGGTTACTTTGGGTTTACGACACCTTCTCTGATAATTCTCTTGGATATTTTGTTAAAGTGAAAATTACCTTTCTGTTGTTTAAACATTTTGCATTGTTAGAATGGAGACTACTTTGAGCTACTTGCTATCAGGTAAAGTTAAAATTTTCTAGGTTTCTTGTATTTCGTTATAAAAATTATTAGAATTGTAACTGAGGCAGAACAGAACTGAGAGGCTACTCTTGCTGTTCTCTAGAAGCTCAGCCTTCTGATAATAAAGCTTGCTCGGACCTAACCCCCGTCTCTGCATTTTGGCTGGACAGTGACAGGCAGCCTGACCCTCTTTGTCTAGTAACAAATGGGAAGCGAGGAAATTGAGCAAAGGAATTCTTCAAGAATTTCTTTAAAAAGAACAAAGAATGAGCCTGAAAAACCCCACCTGCTCACTTTCAAATCCTGTGAACCCTAGAGAAAAGACACACCGTGTCAAAACATTCACTATAGGTATTTTTGATCAACACATCATTATAGTTGATTCTTATATTTACTGGTAGCTAAAATTTCCTTCTATAATGAAAAAGGTTTCTTTTATAATGTAAGAAAACACACATCCCCCTTGGTTTTTAGTTGACCTTGTGCTACATGGACAGTGACATTGACTAGACCCTTCCAGCCACCAACTACGCGCTTCTAAGTAACCATGTGAACTGGACACCTGTCTCTTTGTGAACAATCAGCTCAGGGCCACATGAGAGCAGAAACCAGGAAAAAAGTGCTCATATGAGACTGCCTTGAGAAAATGAATAACCAGTTTAGGCAGGAGTGCACGGACATGTACACACACATGGCGTAAGAATAAAAAAAGTGCTCATGTGAGACTGCCTTGAGAAAAAGGTAGGAGATTACAAAATGAATAACCAGTTTAGGCAGGAGTGCACGGACATGTACACACACATGGTGTAAAAATAAAATTACATAACCTTTCTGGAAGGAAGTTATGTATGTAACTTTACAAAGCCTCTGACCTGGATTCACTTCTAAGAATTAACCTGAGAAAATAATCATGGATGTGGACAACATTTATCTTCAAGGATGTTCATTACGGAGTAACGCATAATAAAGGAAAGTGGGAAATAATCCAGATAGCCAGCAACAGAAACCTGGCTAAATTATGCTTTTTCTGTATGATATTATAAAACATTTTGCAACCAAAAATGACTCTAAAATCCTATGTTAGGGTGTAGGGAAAGGTACACATCATATTAAGAGCCGGTTAAAAACAGTAAGCACCAAATGCAGAGAAAAAAGGCAGGTAGCTCAACCGGCTAAGGCGCCAGCCACGTACACCTAAGGTGGCGGGTTCGAATCCCCAGCCCGGACCCGCCAAAACAACAATGACGGCTGCAACCAAAAAATAGCCGGGCGTTGTGGCGGGTGCCTGTGGTCCCAGCTACTTGGGAGGTGGAGACAGGAGACTCGCTAGAGCCCAGGAGTTGGAGGTTGCTGTGAGCTGTAATGCCACGGCACTCTACCCAGGGGGACAGCTTGAGGCTCTGTCTCAAAAAAAAAAAAAAAAAAAAAAAGAGTGGTTTCCAGTGAGCCAGAGTAATGATCGTCTTTTGCTTATCTGAAACAAACATGTATTAACTATGGGTTTTTAAAAAAACCTGATAATATAAAAATGAAAGTTGTTTGAAAAATAAAGAAAAGTGCTTCACTCTGGCCTCTGCCAACAAGGAAAATTAGCAGTGGTTGCTTGTGCCCTCAGCCAAATCAACCCTGAAGAAAAACACAGCATCTAAGAGCTTGAAACAAAAGTCTCGAGAAACTCAGGAAGATGAACAGCTGTTCTGAGCCCGCACTGAGGAGCAAACACGGGGTTGAAGGTGACTGGCAGAGAATGTGACCAGATAAAGGAAAGCAAGGCAGGTGAAGCTTTGTTCTTGCCCTCACCTATCAATACCTTGGCACAATCATTGCTTAACCCCTTACTGAGGAAATGGGCGGTGATCACCCAGAAAACTAGTTTAAAAATCTATAGGAGGTAAACTCACTGCCAAGCCCTGCTGGAAGGGCAGTGAAGATAACAGGTGGGAACTGATCACACTTAGGCACTCACTGCTTCATTTTCCCGCCCCAGGAATTGTGAATTAAAATCAAGGGTGACTGTCTCCTTCCAACTCCGCTTCTCCCGGAGGGATTCAAGGCAAAGACCTGGGGTAAGGCCACTGAACACAACCACAGGGAGTGTCATCCTCAGCACAGTCCTAGTGAATACTAACACTGGGTTATGTGCACTGGACAAACTCATGGTGAGAAGGTAACAAACTAAAGTGAGTAACTGTGATATTCTGGGACCTCAAACTCTTCACATTCCCCTCTTCCTTCCCTAAGCTGTCTCTGCCTATCAAAAACTAGGATCTGGCTGTAAACCTTTTCCCATTAAGCGTGCCATGCAGAATAGCCAAAACCCTCAGGGAAAGCCAAGTTTATGTCAAAACTAAAGAGATCTTTGAGCTCCTTCCGCCAACTCCATCCCCCAAAGAGGAAGATTTTTTTTTTCAGCTTTTGGCCGGGGCTGGGCTTGAACCCACCACCTCCAGCATAGGGGACTGGCACCCACTCCCTTGAGCCACAGGCACCGCCCCATCCCCCAAAGAAATCCATTAAAATCTACTGATGAAAAAAAAAAATTAAAATGGGATGACTGAGAACATAAAATAGCATGATAAATACAGTAAAAGAAATAAAACAATAAACCTTTTGAAGTAAAATTCTAAAATTGTAAAACCAACAAATAAACAAAAACCAAAGGGGAAATACTAGGTAAAAATAATTGTGAAATAAAGAACACAAGAGTTAAGAAAAAGAATTATATGGACATAGAAGTAGAAATTAGTGAATTGGAAGATAAAATTAAGGAGCTGTCCAGGAAAAAGCGAAGAACAAAAAACTCAAAATATGATTTAAGGAACACAGAGGCTAGAAGTAGAGGGACAATATCCAGGAAAAAAAATTTACATGGAGAAAAGAAATATTTAAAGAAATAATGGAGAAAACTTTTCTCAAAGTTAAGACAATGGTTTAGAATTCAAAGAGAAATTTCAACGAATGCCATCGGAACCGATGAGGAAAAGCCTAATCTAGACATACTCAAGTAACTTTCCGAGCAAAAGAACGTATCACCTACAAAGGTGTAAGAACCAAACTGACGGGCGGCTTTTCGCAACAGCAGTGCTGACTGTAAGAAGACAAAGGATTAACATTTTTAACAAAATGAAGAAAAGCAACCTGAACCTAAAACTTTACATACATCAAAATAACATTATGAAATAAGAGGCCCACGTCACTCATGGATACATATGCAAATACCTAAACAAAATATTAGGCAGCTGAACTTAACAGGGCGTAAGTGTACTAAAAACAGGATGAAAACTAGCGGTCACTTAATTCGATTTTCCATATAAAGAAGGGCATGGACAAATGAGATAAAAAAACTCAGAAGAAGCTGCAACACTATGAGAGTTAAGGGCAACATCGAAACACTTGGTGAAGTTGCTGTCT